ACTCTAGCGTCAGTTGATGGTCTGGCGGAGTTTAGGGCCTCAAGTGGTGGTCTGACGAAGTTCAAACGTACCCTTAGGTGGTGGTCTAGCGAAGGTGAGGGTCTCGGGCGGTGGTACGACAAAGGTGAGGGCCTCAGGTGGTGGTTCGACGAAGGTGAGGGCCTCATGCGGTGGAGGGTGAGGGCCTCAGGCGGTGGTCTGGTGAAGGTGAGGGTCTCAAGTGGTTGTCCGGAGAAGGTGAGGTCCTCAAGTGGTGGTCCGGCGAAAGTGAGGGCCTCAGTCGGTGGTCCGGCGAAGGCGATGGCCTCAGGTGGTGGTCCGGCGAAGGTGAGGACCTCAGGTGGTGGTCCGGTGAAGCAACGACGTTAGGCGGTGGTCTAACAGAACTCAGGAGGTGGTCAAGGAGGAGCTTCTTCTTTCTCTTCCTTCTCTTCTCTTCTTCTCTCATTTTCTTCTTGCTTGGATCCCCTTTCAAGAGAAATGAGGAGTCTATTTATAGATTTTTGGAGTGGCATGGCCCGTAAATAGGTGAGAGATCAATGGTAAATGGGGAGTGGTTGGATGGACGACCGATGTTGAATCCCTTGATCATGGACTGTTTGATGGACATTTGAATGTCTAAGTGATGTCGGAATTTGGTGATCTTGGGCTCGTTTGATTTGTCTCGTTGAGCCCCTCGATTCGACTATAAGCACGTTATGTTTGGTGATCCAAATTGTAGTTCGAACATTCGAATAGCACTTCTAACCCTTGATTGGACCCTTTTGGGTTTGAATTGGGTTGGATTTGGTGTCGTTAGGTTCGTATTCTCGAGACGCTCAGTTCGACTATAAGTTTGCTGAAATCGGAGTTCGGATGGTCACAATTTTAATTTTGGAAGTTTCCAACTTGATTTTGCATCAAGATTCATGCCCGATCAAGATAATTTTATGACGACATATCAATCTTATTTAACACTATGTTAATGGTGTTAAGGCTAAAGCTATCTTGTTGGACTTGAGGCGGATTTAGATATCTGTCAATGTCCTTTGAGGCCAAGCTACCGCAACCTAACATCTCTTTTTTTCTTTTTTTTTTTCTTTTTTTCACTACGATTGGGTATCGTACTAATCTAACATCTCTTATGCCGCAACACATCCCTCAAAATTGTGTCCTAATCTCCGTCTTGTTCTTGTTGTCTTTCTTTCATGTATGCTTGTGATTGCCCAGCCCACACACTTATCTCCCTCTTCAAGCTCCTCAACCCCTCATCAAGTTTCTCTCTCTCTCTCTCTTGCTCGCTTGCGCACTCGGAAGATAGTGTGTGAAGGGCAATGAGATCTACGATGATTGATGATGAGTGACGAGGATGAGACTGGCGGCGTGGTGATAGGGTCATAACGGAATATATTATTTATAATTTACGTAAATATTTTGAGTGCTATATATGTATGTGAATAGTAAATTTTATATGTCAAACATATAAATTCTAATATTATAACACTACTAAAAAAATAAGATTTTTCGCATCGGTTCTTAGGAGCAGTTTTGAAACTTGTCTGTTTGGACTTATGGACAAAAGAAGAGATGAATTATGTAATGTTGATGTTTTCATAGCATTCATAAAGCTATATTTGGAGTATGGTTTATTGATTCCTGATTAAGATCTATGTTTAAACTCTTCTTGCCACATCTCATTTTTGTGCTATGTATGATCAGTGTTTGATGCCTTAATCTCTCAAAGTTCCTATTAGTTGCAGATGTATATTTATATCGGATTAGTATATAAGACTGTAGTGGACATTCATGTTATGTATTTATAAATTTTTTTAAAAAAAATTATGGACATTTATGGTGGTTATAACCGCCACAACATATCAGAATTATGGCAGTTAAAAATGTCACATTTCCAGAAATAAGTTTACATGGAAGATATTAGCGACGGTTATGACCGCTATAAATCTGCAAGTTTGTACCATGCCAGTTATAATATATTCTAAAACAAGCTTTTCGGGCAATATTACACTTTTAATATGATTGTACTATGTTAAAATTACTTTATAGGAAAGAAAACTTCTATGAATCAAAAGAATAAAACAGCTACCCAAATGCAGGCTCCCCGTGGACGGCCTTTGGGGTAACCGGGAGTTCTCATCAAACTAGCTACTTTTTTTAGTCCAGGCATGATGAAATCAGACCTTTTTGTTCTCTCAGCTCTTTTTTTTTTTTTTTTGAAAATTTCTCTCAGCTCTTATTGTTGTACTGCCTTATTGTTGTGCTGATGTAATGCCTTTTTGTTGTATTCATGATGTCAAATTCAAAGAATGTAATTTTTGTTTTATGGGCTTCTTCAAGCCAGCCTTTTTTTGTTTTTGTGGCCTTAGATCTTTGTTTTTACATGTAACCTTTGTTTATTAATATACGGGCTTCGCCCAAATTTTCCCAAAAAAAAAAAAAAAGATTAATGCATGTCAACCTTAATTTGAATATTATAAACTCACATATGCACATACAAATAAGATGTCATTAACATTTTTATATAAAAAATTTATGAAGAAAAAAACCATGATGTTGGGGTGTCAATATTTGACACGAACCGAAAACTCTACCCAAACCCCGCAACTTGAAAATTTCGGGTTCGGGTCAACCCGAATTTGAACTGGGTCAAGGATTTCGACCCGTTTGTAAAACCAGGTCAGGTTCGGGTTGACTCGGAAACCCGAAATCTGATTTGATCCGTTTTTAATTAATGAATAAGGGTTTTAAAAGATTGTTATGTAATAAATAAATGTTATTTCCAAAAAATAATAAATCATGTTGCCCAAACTGATTTAAGCTTACTTTATTTTAAATTGATTGAAGTAAATCTTACCTTAATTCGATCCAGGTTTAAATAAATCGAATTAAATAAAAACAAATTAGTAAAATATACCCAAAGCGGGTCGAGTTCAGGTTGGGTCGAACAATATCGGGTCAGTTCCGGATTGAAACTGAACCCATTCCATGACCCGATTTTAACAACCCTTATGATGTACATATGTCTAATTCAAATGAGAAACTAATATTATTAAGCTTGATTGAAGGCTCAAGAGCATAGTCAAGATGCATGCAAAAACTAAAAAAATATTAACTTGAGTAGAACTATAGTGAAGATTGATGTAGAAATTGATAATATCTAGAAAAAGTGCCCAAGTGATGAATAACCCCAAAGGCTTGAAGATTATTGACTATTTGACAATAGGGATAAGATGGATGCAATCTTCTATGATTTCAATGTAAATTTGTCATAACTTTTCTAAAGGAAAGTTTGGATAAATTATAGATCCAACCGCTAGCAGTTAAGTTATAGATACAACTACTATCAGCTAAGTTCTCATCGGAGAAGAAAGCCAACAATAATATTTTATCTAATATTTCAATATGACTCTCATATCATATGCGGGGGTTAAAACGAGTTGATGTATCGAGTTTGGATCTAATCCGAATCAAATCCATTACATAAAGGGGTTAAAAATATAAATCAGAACCAAACCCATTAGCAACCTGAATGAATCGAACCCAACCAGTTAACTCATTTTGATTAAAAAAAAGATGTTTATAACTTATTAATAAGATAGTTTAGGACAATTGATCAATAATAAGGAGACTATACACATAAATAAAAAAAATTACATAAAAAAAGATATTAAATATATCATTTTCAAGTAAAAAATAGGTTCACATATCAATAACTGGAGCCCGACCAATTTATTAAACAGGTTAACTCGAATCTGGATTATCATAAATATTCAAACAAGAAATAATCACACTTATCTACACATATTAAATTTTTATTAAATACTAAAATAACAACTTTCTTTTATTATCATAAATATTCAAACAAGAAATAATCACATCAATAGATATATTTTTTTATATAAATAAATAATATGCTCTACAAGTGGGCTATAGGCACCAATGAAACCCTCCTCTTGTCCTCCTCATGGGATATATTTTAAACAATGGCGTCTATTTCGAACGTCAAGACCAAAGCTTAACAATGACTTTGTCTATATGACTTTTTATTTATTTATTTATTTTTTTGTCTATATGACTTAGTTTATCATTATCAATACTTATTCCATGGCTAATGGCTTCATTCCAGCTCTCCTTGATCCAGCTTAAAATTTATAAAACCTCTCCATTTAGAATACTTTACAAGTTAAAGAAATCCAACCAAACAGTCCTTGAAATCCTTCTGCGTTCTATACTTTCCATCAGGTAATTTTCTCTTTTTTTTTTCTATTTTATTCCCTGCAATCATTACATTGTGTTCATTCAAACTCTAGAATCATCTATTTGTTTTATTTTTTTGGGAAAAATGGTAATTGATTGGGTATCGCTCTAATGTTGATCGATCTGGATGGATCGTTTCGAAGTTGGATTAGGGTTTTGCCTTCTTGTTTTTATTAGATGTTTGATGAATATCATGAAATGTTCGACCAAAAAATAGTGATCTTTGATTTGGTTGAGATTGAGCTTTAGAGGAATAATGCTATGGGTTGTTCTAGCACTGTGTTGGTAAGCATTTTGGAGCTGTTATTTGAGTGTTTGTGATTGATTTAATCAATGTTCATTTGCTGAATTTTGGCTTTTAGTTTTTGTTTTATCTATCATATATAGTAACTATGGGTAATCTTATGTATCTAATCTTGTTCTGGAAGTTTTTTTTTTTTTTTTTCATTAAAAGGTACATTTTCTTCATTAGGATATTGATCTAGAGTTCGTGAACTGCAAAAGTATATTATAAATTTTGTTCTTGGTGTCGATACTATCTATAAATCATAGATTAATTTTCTATTTTCATGTTCAAATTTTTTTAAATGGAAAATTGCATTGTCCTTTTAACTGGATTTTGATTATGGAGCATCCACATATATATATGCATGTGCAGATGTGCTTTCTCTTTTCATTTGGTTATCCTACTATTTACGTGTTTGGAAAAATAAAATTTCTCAATGTTTGAGCATGATTTCTTAGCTATGGCATCTTCTGAAAATATGAAAGTTGAAAGAGAAATCACGGAAAGGGGACACAAAGATGAAGAGAGAAATGAAGAGAATGGGGGATTCATGGATAAGATCAAGGATTTTATCCATGACATTGGAGAAAAGATTGAAGGTGCTGTAAGGTTTGGGAAGCCAACAGCAGATTTTAAGGCAGTTCACCTTCCTTCAATCAATTTGCATAAGGCAGATCTTGTTGTGGATGTGCTAGTTTCAAACCCAAATCCTATTCCAATTCCTCTTGTAGATATTGACTACTCAGTTGAAAGTGATGGTAGAAAGCTTGTGTCAGGGCTGATTCCAGATGCTGGAACAATTCATGCACATGGCTCAGAGAATGTAAAGATACCAGTAACATTGATATTTCATGATATTAAGAGTACTTACGATGATATTAAACCTGGAAGTGTTATACCTTATAGAGTGAAGATTGCTCTCCTTGTGGATGTGCCTATTTTTGGAAGGCTAACTCTTCCTTTGGAGAAGAAAGGTGAAATTCCTGTGCCTTACAAACCTGATGTTGATATTCAAAAGATACATTTTGGCAAGTTCTCCCTTGAAGAAACTGTTGCAACCCTGCACTTGAAAATAGAGAACAATAATGACTTTGAATTATCATTAAATAAGCTAGAGTGCGAAATTTGGCTATCTGATGTGAGCATTGGAAGTGTTGAGCTTTACAAATCTATAAAGATTGCCAAAAAAGGAATTAGTAGGATTCAGATTCCAATGACTTTTCGACCTAAAGACCTGGGTTCTGCTATTTGGGACATGATTAGAAGAAGAGGTACTAGATATTCGATCAAAGGAAACATTGATGTGGACACTCCTTTCGGACCAATGAAGTTGCCAATTAGCAAGGAGGGTGGAAAAACTCACCTAAAGAAAGGTGAAGAAGAAGAAGATGATGATGAGGTTTGATCCTTTCTCACTTGAAGTTAATCTTGCTTCTTTTACTGAACTATTTATATTTCTCTTGAAAGTAGTTTAAAGGGCTTTGATGCATGCATTTTGTTCTAAAAACTCTGCTAAATATCAATATATTATCATTTTAGTTACTTCTACTTTGGCAACAACAGTTACGCTTGACACTCATAATTCTTATTTAATGTTGAATAATGAAGATAATTCTAGCATTCTTTTAATTGATCTGTTAGTTTTGAATGTACTTAGAATTTTGTGAATGATATGAGGCATGAAAAATGGGTAGGCTATTGAGAATTAGGCAAGACCTAATTCAAATTACTTATAGGAAATGAAATAGAGAGAAGATCGATGTGCAAAATACATCAAGAATTTTATAAATTTGTATCCAATTGATGACTATGTCCTCACTATGATGATAGAGTTCTATAGCCTTAAAACAATTCCACCCTTGATATTTTCTCTCCGCAGCAAGCAATTAGTTTTTGAAGCCATCTGCCTTTGCACTTCCATCACTAAATCAAGAGAAAATAAAAAATGCTTAAAAAGGTTTTCAACAAGCTCCAAACACATCTAACATCAGTATCGGATCAACTGCTCAACTCATTATGGTTGTAAATAACTTTAATTCAGAGATTCACAAAATCTAATCCTGAATTGTGGACTCAAGAGTATCATATTATATGATTGAATATGCCTCACTATTTCATAAAAGATAATCCTTTAGTTTAATATAATGATTGTTGATGAATCATTATATTTAGTTACATGTATTAGAATAAACAAATTTGACTCCAAATCCCTGAAATTTTAGTTTTATAAGTTTCTAAACTTTTCTATAATCTTTTATTTAATCAACAAATATATCAGGATTATGAGTTGTGTTACTCAAATTGTCTTTTCACTTTAAATACCATAATGTGGTCTCAGAGAGGACATTTGGCAATGCTAAGGAGAATGCTATGCTCTACCTACTAAGTGCCTAAGAAAATTATTTATGACAAGTAAAATATGCTTAGTATATTCTTTGTCTAAAGAGAGTGCAATCATGTTATCTCAATATTGTTCATCTAAGCTTTATGTATCTTAGAAAATTATTCTTATCTTCTTTCAATTATAAAAATCCAGAGTAACTAAACACACAAGGAATGTCGCTCTTAGACATCCTTATAAATCCTTCCATTATTTCTCCCAAGTTACCAATATCTCTATAGCTTGTTGGGTTTATATTCTCTATAAATGATCGCACTAAAGCCATATTAATATTCTTTATGAAAAGCAATTATAAACCCTATCACATTGTTGGGAAATTCCATCTCCATTTGCAAACTCAGTTCAACACCCAAATTAAAAGTCCTCAGGAATAACAATGTAAAAGAATATTTCGATTCAAATATTAGAGATGATCTTCTTCAAATCCAAAGATCTTATATATTTCTCAACAGTAAAAGAAAAAATATGTATGTTCTATAAGTTTCCAAATTAATCTATTATGAAAAGTATAAATATTTTAAAATAATATCAGGTAAAGTATGTCCAACAATTCTCAAATTAAAAATCTTCTACAATTCCTCAAAATATAACCCACAAGTAGAATTATCTTCACTATTTCACTGAATATCTTTGGTTGCTATGTTTATATTCACATCCCACCTCATTAACGAGATCCAAAAGCCATCAAGTGTATTTTTATTTGTTATTCTCCCAATCAATAATGATACAAATGCTACCATTATAAAAAGAACAAGTTATGTACTTATATGGATGTAATATTTTTTTTAAATCAATCAATTTTTTTGAAAACCCGTATTCTATGTGAGAATTCCAATATTCTTTATTTGTAAGAGTTTGTTATTCATTCCACCAATCTCTGTCTCTATCTCTCGCTAACATCTTTGAAGCTACAAATGCATGTTGACCAAAAGTCTCAAGACCATATATAATAAACTATATATATAAGTCGTGGTTTACCCTAAACCTCAAGAAAAATACAATAAATATTGGTGAATCTGGGATTCCTCCATAGCAAAGTCATCCATTTGAATCAAGTTCCGATAATGTTTCACATGATAAGACTAAGGCTTTGTTTGGAGCGGCTTTCTTACTACTTCTTAAAGCGACTTTTTAATAAAAAATTAAAATTTTTACAATAGAAAGTCACTTTAAGAAGCAGTAAGAAAATCATCCCAAATGAGCCTAACAATGACTTTGATATCTAGATCTCTTATAGGAAATATATAAAAACGCTAAAATCTTGTACAAAATATTCAATCACTAAATACATCTCTTACCATAACTCATCTTCTTAGTTTCATGCTTCTATAAGTATCCTTCTAGTGTGAATATTTCTAATAACATTCAGGAGGAATTAAAAGTATCTAAATGAAAAAATGGTGTTCATGAAGAAATGAAAGCATTGGAAAAGAATGACACATGTCAATTCTTCATCTTACCAAAAATCCATTGATAACAAAGGTAAAGTCTAAAAACTTATAAAATCTTTATATGGCCTAAAGTAATCTTCAATTGCTTAGTTTGGGAAATCCACAACTACAATTAAAAAAATATGAATATTATCATGGATAGGTTTTTTTTTTTTTTTAATCATGAACTGGGCCTACGCGTTAAAATAAAAGGACGAAAATAGAGATCAAATAAGAGACAATCAGCTCACTGCCGCTCAACAGAGCAACAAAAGGAAAAAAAAAAAGAAGTAAAACTAACGAGCCAATTATCTCCAACAGAGAAGAAAACAAGGCAGCCTAATAACATTTTGCCTTGTTTGTAAAAATGTCACTAGCTCGTTGGTCAAAATATTATCATGATTGTCTATATAGATGATTCTATTTTAATTATCATATCTTATTTGTCACTCATTACTTCTATTATAATTTCTTATCAATTTTAGGACTACTAATCAATAGTATTCAACACCTATAAATTTGAAGCAAGTCAAGAAAATTCTTATCTCATCTCTCTTTTCTCTAACTTTAACACTCTGTGATTAGCGCAGACAAATTTTGATTGATTGTTCATATATTATACTCTTCTCAAAGTAATTTTAATAGCTTTGTGGTCGCTATTCATCAACTTTTAATAGAGTATCTTGATTTTTTTTCCAAAAAGATAACGATATGATCATAGCTGTAACTTATCTGTGTCATTAGCTATAGCCTAATTGCTTTAAATTAGATGGATGTTAATTAGTCTTGTGATTATCTCAACAGGATTAGAGAAAAGATCTTTGGGCTACACAATAAGGTCCTTCATTTGAAATAATTTTTTTATTACTTTTTAAAACATCTTTTATCAAGTTTTGGGTTGGGATATTGAAGAAAAATATGTGATTGGGGCTGATGATTTTGGGAAAAAAATTGTGTGGACAGCCTATTCTATTTTTAATTAACTATTTAAAATCATGATATATGCTTAATAAAATAAATCATTTCTAATTGTTCAGAAAATAAAATATTAAATTTAAATAATATTTGTATCACAATTTAAAAATTAACTTGAAAATTTTTCATAAATTATTCTCAAATCTTTATTTAAAAAACATTGTGTAAAAGTTTTCAAAAAAATAATATTAGGACTAACTGGATTCTAATTTTAATAATATTATAGTCAAAATAATAATGAGCATGCTAATTTAGTTGGATGTTCAGCTTCTTATATTATATTGGTTTTCTTGTGATTTTATAAATAACATTCCATCTCCATGAATAGGATAAAAGGTTTTTTTGATGATTTCTTGCTATTAGACATTGATGAGGAATATATGTATTTTGAGTTTAAATTGTTTATAATAATTTCCCAATTTAAAAGAATATCTTTGAGGGCTAAAATATGCACATTTATACTACTATATAAAAGTGGCTTGGGATTCCACTTTTAGCAAATCCTAGCCTTCCATTTTAATCACTATAATTAAATCCTAACCTTTCATTTCAATTATTTTAACTATAATTGATTAATAATTGTACTTTAATTCATTCATATGAAATATACTTTTGATCTTCCAAATAATTAATTATGAACGGCTATTTGTTTTAGCATGTAATTAATTTGCACTCTTGATCTTCAAATGGCTAATGAAAAGAGCCAAAACACCAATGATCATTTGAAAGGCTAAAATATCAGTTTTATGAGAGCCAATAAGACAAAAATTATTTCAATTATTTTAAATATAATTGATTAATAATTGTAATTTTATTCATTTCAAATATATTGTATTAATTATTATAATGATATATTAATTAATTTTCAGCTATGATAACGTATTAATTAATCAACATTATCATCCACGGCTCTTATTTAATTGGATGAACGTTTGATTTATCAATAAATTTAATTAGCATGATAAATTTCATTTAAACTAATTATTGCCCGGTTAAGCCTCCGATTACTATTCGCTTCCCAAACCGCAGAATCCTGAAGCAGACGAAAGGGACGATGACTGAATCTTCAAAGCCACCAAAATACTTGATTAAGCCTCTGCTTGAGCCGTGAAATGTTCGCAGACGAAATGACAAAGGACGAATCGACGAACGTGAAAGCCACAGACGAAACCGTCGTTTGAATTAATTTTACGAAGGAGACGAAAGATCATTTTCTACCTATAAATCACGAAGAAGGAAATGAGCTTGAGCGGCAAACGGTCGAGAGATAGATCAGTCGTGTTTGGGGCGAGCGAGCAAGCAAGGCAGAGGAGTCCGATCGCGAGGTAAGATTCAATCTTTTAAGAAAATTAATAGCATGCCGAGCAATCCCTCCCCCGTTCTTGGATCACCACCCGTAAAAGAACTTTCCTATTCTCAACCCTTCTTGATCCCCAACTAGCTTTACGTTGTCACCTCTTCCTTCTCAATCATCAAATTAAGATGCTTCGATTCAAATTGATCAGAGAAAATTTGTACCATAAAAGAGGATTTTCCAATGCTCCTCATAATCTGTTTCATCAATTTACCCAATTTCAACAGATTTACTTCAACCCTTAT